AAAACAAGTCAGACAGGCCTTTGATCTTTGTCAGACATTAATGTTTTCACATATACAAAGCAGTGGACAGTTAACTGTGCCATACACTACCCTCTATAATAACTCCAAGAGGCACCCCAAACTTGGTTTGTCAAAGAGCAGGTTTACCCTATTCCCCAATCTTTCCACTCCTTACGTGTCCCACATCTCAGTAAATGACACCTATAGCTGGTTGCCCGAGCCAGGAACCAGGGCATCACACTGGATCAAGCTTTCTCTCTCTCCTTCTCTTCTGCCCTCTCTCACATTCTTCTATCAGCACGAGTTGAAAATGGAGTCTTCCACTTCCTTAGCATCTATCTTACTCCCCCAACTCTATTCCTGCCAACATTGCCTTGTTGCAGGCCCTTGTAATCTCTCCCCAGCACACCCCATATGTCTCCTCATGGGTCTCCTGTTTCTTTCCCACCACATCACTTACCTCTTCCTGGTCCCAGCCTCATGAATTTCCTTAAAATTTACCATCTCTCTGAAACTCTTGCTGCCTATTTGCCCAGGATGCCGCCCCTCTCCCAATCCTCCTCTACTCCCTTTGCCTACTCAAATTTCAAGACTCAGCTCAAGTTACTGAGAAGCCTTTTCTGTTTCCCCAAGGTAAACCCACCGCTCCTTGCTTTGGCGCCACAACCCCCTGTACAGAATTCTTTCCTTTTAGTAACACTAGAGGCCTGATGCACAAAATTTGTGCAAGAGTAGGCCTTCCTTCCCCCAGCTGCCGGCACTGGCTTCCCTCTGGCACCCGGGACCCGGGCTTTGTCTGGAAGATCATCCAGAAGGACGTCCAGTCTAATTAGCATATTACACTTTTATTATTATAGATACCGTTGCATTTATTTTTTACATATTTATCTCCACCCTAGACTAGAAACACCTTAAGGGCAAAATCTCTGTTTATATCACTTGTTACCTCGTACCTGGAGTATAATAGGTGCTCAAGAAACACTTTAAAAAAATTGATTTTAGAGAGGAAGGGAATTCATTCACTTTTTGAATGAATTCAGTCCTTTTAAAAAATAACTTTTATTTTTCAATTACAGTTGACATGTAATATCATATTAATTTCAGGTGTACAACATATTGATTAGTTATTAATATAACTTATAGGGTAATCACCCTGCTAAGCCTAGTACCCATCTGACACCATATAGTTATCGCCCATATTATTGACTATATTAGCCATACTGCACCTTACATCCCTGTGACTGTTTATAACTGGCAGTTTGCACATCTTAATCCTTTCCCCATTATCACGCATCCTCCCATCTGGCAACCATCAAAATGTTCTCTGTATCTATGAGTTTGTTTCTGTTTTATTTATTTATTTATTTAATATATTTTAATTGTTGATAGTATTATAGATATCTCCCATTCCCCCTCTCCCCCAAGCCTCTACCCACCCCCCACCCCCCCACCCCCCCGCCCGCTCCAGATCTTCTCTACCCCATTGCCCATGTCCTATGCACTTAAGTGTAAAAGTTCTTTGGTTTCTCTCTCCTCATCCTCCCACCCCCACATACACGCTGAGGGCTGCCGTCGCCATATTGCAGGGTGGGCCGCGCGCAGGGGCCAGACGCGGAGAGGTTGGAAGGGGAGGGGGCGCGCGCTACCGGGGGAAGCACGCGTGCGCACCGGCCGCGGCGGCGGAGGGGTGGGGCCCGCTTCGGAGTGCGCGTGCTCGTGGGAGCCCGGCGAGTACCTGGAGGAGGCGGGGGGCGAGGAAGGAAGGAGTCGGGTTGACGAGCGCTCGTGCGGGAGGGCCACTGTGCGGGGAGAGGGGCTCCTGAGCACGCGCGCGGCGACGAGACTGTGGGAACTCTCGCGAGATCTCCTGGTGCTTTATGTGGACGCAGAGGATCCGCGTCCTTTCCCGGGTGCAGTTCCATCCTGCAGCACAGAAGCCGTTTCTCTCCTCCTCCTTCTCTCTCACCTGAGTGCGTGCTACCGCCCCCTGGAAGATTGTTTGGACATGGACATGAGCCCTTTGAGGCCCTAGAACTGCCTTTTCGGTAACTACTGGGGGGCTGGAGGGAGGCAGAGCAGGGCCTAGTGGCTTTGAGGTGGGGGCCGGGGGGGGGGGGTGGGCGGGGCGGGAATGCGGCAGAGGCCGGGCTGTGGAAGGAAGCGAGGCCGGCTGGAGGCCTGAGTGGGTGGGAGGCGAGATGGCAGGCTTGCAGCCTAAGGGATGGAGCACCAGGAGGGGTGGCCTGAAGCTTCGGGGTGAGCGGTTGGAGACCCAGAGTCTGGGGTTCCTGGGAACCGCCTGGCTGAGGGTTCAGCGTTGCCCGGGGTAAACCATCGAGCTCCAGACATTACCGTTCCCAAGGGCTGTGTGAGTGCGGAGGCTTTTGATTCGCAGCCAGTGTCTTGGGTGCGGGGCCACAGTGGTGCAGGAGGCTGTGCGGCTCGTGGTGTGAGGCGTAGGCCTTCTTCCAGGAGGAGAGGGTGCACAGAGTCTGGCCTTGCTCTCCAGGCCTCAGGCATTCCAGAGCCCCGAGCCCCGAGCCCCAGTGCCTCGGCGGGGTTCGGCGGGGTTCAGGGGAGGCGCAGGCGCTGGGAGCCTGTGGTTTGCAGGTGGTTGGGGGGAGGAAGGGGTGTGGGCGCTATCTCTGGGGGATCACTGGTGTCTTGTCACCCCGGAGCCCGGGATCCTGGGGCTTCATTGGGGCTGTCCGGTGGGAAATGTCGGGTGAAGTGGTTGGTAGCACCGGGATGGTGGAGGTCTTTGTTCAGGCAGGTCCTCACCAGACTTCACCGCGAGAGGTGGGAATTGCCCACTAGGCAGGTGGCGATAGTGATGCTCAGAACTGAAGTGACTTAAGAAAGGTTGCACTTGCAGGTAAATAGGTAAGATCTAAACCACGAGTCCTGACTCCAGAGCTGGCGCATATAAATGACTTTTTTATGTGCAGAATCGAGCAAAGAGCTTTTTTTTTTTTTTTTTGTAAACAATGAGAAATGTGCTCAGGTTCAATTTGGGTCACTAAGACTCGGTGCTGTTACTATACTATCCATCAAGGTTTTGGGATTCCTCCTCTTCCCAGGACACAGTGCATATCATACTAAGGAAAGAGCAGAATTGGTTTTCAGTGAACTTGTTGAAGCCCTTTCTTTGTGTCAGTCAGGCTTCAAGTAACTGCAAATTCTGCCCCAGGTTTATTTTGTTTCGTATGCCATGCTGAGTTTTGTTAATTGAGCAATAATATTTAAACATCTATGTACCAGTAGCTACGGTATTAGAGTGCTGCAATTAAATGGAATCATTTACATTAATTAAAGTTTTACTCTGATGGTACTTAAAACAGTTTGCTTATTAGTGGAATAGCTAATATGCACTGTACAAATAGTGCTTTTATTTCTAGCCATTTTGAATAGCTGGGTTTCTGATCAATTTATATCAAGATATTTTTTTGTTGACCCTTTTCATTGGAAATATTCCCTAGGATATGTCAACATATTGTTGAAGTAACAGAAATGGTGTACATTAAATTATGTCAGAAATTATGTTTAAGGCAGGAATAGACATATCCTAGGGATAGTTAATGCCTGTATGGATGTTATTTGATTGTAGGCATTTGTGTTCAAGAAATCTAGGAAGAGAGGCCTTCTGGTAAGATAGTGAAAAATCACAAGTTAATTGTTCCCTATTTTTTCTCCATGTTAGAGTTGCTTTTTTTCTTCACTTACAGGTTGTGAACTAAAGGCCGACAAAGATTATCACTTTCAGGTGGAAAATGATGAAAATGAGCACCAATTATCTTTACAAACGGTATTTAAACTTTTCAAAATAAACTACGAAACCTTTCTCGATTTCAGCCTTAGTTCCTATTCATGTGGCTTAATATTTAATTTTTATGATAGTATTTTTATAACTGAGTATTGTATATACTGATTTTTTGTATACCTGTGATACAAAACTTGGCATTTTTATCACTCCTTTGGTAATCATATATTTTACACTACTGTTCAACTTTTCGTATTTATATACTTAATTTGCCTTATAAAGTCCTTTAGGGTAGTGGTAAATCTTTGTCCCCTGCAGAGACTAGCCCATAGCTTGCTGCTTAACTTGTAGGTGGTCAATAAATGTTAGGTAATCATACTGTGGATAGGTGATGACATGTACAACTATAGGGTGTCTCCCTAAAATGTATGCACACACTTTGGATAATTATAAAGGTGGTGTTTATTAAAATGCATTTCATTTTCAAAATTGAGCTATCGGCTGTTAAAGTGTGTATGCAATTTTTGGGGGCACCCTATACGTCATCTTATGCATTTGTTCAAATTTATTGAATATGAGAAATTGATTGTCAAAGTCCCATAAAACTTGAAGACAACATTGTGCACAAATTAGTTTTCCATCAGTGGTAATAGTGAAAAGTTTATAAGTAACTTTTTTTTTTTTAATATAAGAACTTTTCGGGGGGATTGTATAATACAGAAACTTAAGTTGAAGTGCTGTTTTTCTGTTCACAGGTCAGGTTAGGGGCTGGTGCAAAGGATGCAAAGTGGACAGCACTTAGTAGGTATGTTATTTTTATTATCTTTTATGCAGCTACTTTGTCCCAGCTGGACTACTGTCTTTATAGTAGGTTCAAATGGGAATCTAGTAGTTACATATATTACTAATTTATAGCTGGAAACACCTGTTATTTTGCATATAAAACCTAGTAATGAATGTTAGGCCCCACAGTTCCTTTTTGTAAAAAATTTTGTTTGCTTTTTGCCTTTTTTAAGCAGTAGAATCTGTTTTTAAATACTCATTACTGTATATTAATGCCCTTTTTTCTGAGTTCTTGCTTCTGGGTTGAGTTTTAGTAGTAGCTAATAAAGAAATTTATTTTAGCTGTGGAGGAAGATGGAGTCAGAAGATGACGAGGAGGAGGATGTGAAACTCATGTCTGGAAAGCGTTCTGCCCCTGGAGGTGGTAGCAAGGTTCCGCAGGTATAGATGTAATTTACTACAGGTATCTTATTCTGGTTTTTAGTTTGGACACTTGCTCATGAGGTTTTTCGTTGTTTTTCACTTTGAAGAAAAAAGTAAAACTTGCTGCTGATGGAGATGATGAGGACGATGATGAGGATGAGGATGATGAAGAGTAAGTATGGATTCAGAAGCTTGATGAGGTTGTATGGGGGGTTTTAAGAAAATTTTTTTCTAAAATTGTCCTGTGGAATTGAGTAATAGCTTTAAATAAAGGGTAAATGGTCAGTGGTTGTCATTTTGGGTTAAATGAGCCAAGTTAAAGGATACTGTTGGAACTATGAACCTTTAAAGTGCTTCAGTGCATTGAGAATTTTCGGAACTATTTCCCTAATGTGTTTGACTAGGTACCGCAAGCATGTCAAACTCGCGGCCCACAACGAATATTTTTGCGGCCCAGCCAATACAACGGTATGTAAGAAACGTTTTAATAAAAAGTTCGTAACTTAATTTTTACAATATCCTGTTATAATTATTAATAACGAACTAAAATGTTCGCTAATGACTGATTACTAGAATCGTGTTACATTCATTTCCCTTATGCACCTTATGCACAGGCGCACCATTTCTCTCCACTAATACTGGCAGCGAATATTTTAGCAGCCGATTGCCATGTCATTAGTCTTGTACTGACTTGTTTGGTGTGCGCAACAGGAAATATTTCGCTTTCGGAGAAAAGAAAAATAGGTTTATTTGTGTTACGCTTATTAATTTGTGCAGTTTATTCGGTGTCCGGTAAGTTAACGTTCAAGAGAAAATATTAATTTTTATTAAAATGTTCTATTATTTTATGTTAATGATTACTCATTTATTTCAGCCCTTTGTATTCAGCATGTCTCTATCGAAATCAAGTGGTAGTAAAAATAAACGAAAAATTGCTGACGAACATCGAAATTTCCAAGAAAAGTGGGAATTGGAGTATTTTTGCTGTGAAGTAAAAAATAAAATCATCTGCTTGATATGTAATAATGCTATTAGCGTACCAAAGTTATACAACATTAATCGTCACTATGAACAACATAAGTCAAAGTATGATAATTACGAGGGATTAATGAGACAAGAAAAGTTGAAAGAGCTCAAATTGGGGCTGAATAAACAACAGTTCATGGTTACTAAAGTATCTCAAGAAAGTGAAGCGGCGGTGCATGCAAGCTACGTCTTGTCAGAGTTGATAGCTAAACACTCGAAACCTTTTACTGAAGGTGGTTTCATCAAGGAATGTCTAATTAAAGCTGCAGAAATTATTTGTCCTGGAAATGTGAAGTCTTTTCAGAGAATCTCTTTGTCTCGAAATACAGTTGCGGAAAGAGTTACTGATTTGGCTGACAATTTAAGTATTCAGATCAAAGCAAAATCATCTAGTTTTGAAGCTTTCTCCATTGCCTGTGACGAAAGTACGGACATTGGAGGCGTAGCTCAGTTAGCTGTGTTTCTTCGTGCTTGCGACACGGATTTCAATATTTTTGAGGAATTGTTGGAACTAGTACCGATGCATAACACTAGTACAGGACAAGATATATTTAATTGTGTTTTTAAACTTCTGCAAAAATACAATCTACCTCTCTCAAAATTAACTTCTGTAGCTACAGATGGAGCTCCTTTGATGACCGGAAACAATGGTTTCGTGGAATTACTGCAAAAAAAACAAAGTGAAATTTATGACGGATCCATGATTCATCATATACATTGCATTATACATCAAGAAGTATTATGCGCAAAGGTAATAAACATGGAAAATGTGTTGACATCTATCAAAAAAATTATCAATTTCATAAGATCTCGAAGTTTAAATCAGCGACAATTCTCTGCTTTCTTAAGTGAATTAGACAGCGAATATTCTAGTTTGTCGTATACTGAGGTACGTTGGCTATCCTGCTCCAAGGTTCTTAAACAATTCTGGGACTTGAAAGAAGAAATATGTCAGTTCTTAATGTCTAAAAATCAAGACACAAGCCTATTTTTTGACACAATATGGTTGCAGGATTTATCCTTCATGGTTGATATAACAAAACATTTATATGATTTAAACTTAAAATTGCAAGGAAGAGATCAGATTATTACAAACATGTGTGACCAAGTCAAAGCATTTAAATGTAAGCTAGTTCTTTGGGAAAAGCAGTTGAAAAATGAAGATTTAACGCACTTTCCAACATGCAACATGAACAAATCAAGTTTAGGTGAAACTGCATCGTATCAAAAATATGCAGAAAAAATTTTAAGCCTTAGAACTGAATTTGAAACAAGGTTTGCAGATTTTAAATTTTTGGAGGACAAGTTTTCTTTGTTTTCTTCGATTTTTTCAATAAATATAGACTTAGTACCTAATCAAATGCAAATGGAGGTAATTGAGATCCAGTGCAATTCAGATTTGAAGGCAAAATTCAGTGAAGTTGGTGTGCCTGAATTTTACAAATATTTACCTGCCAGGTTTGAAAATACTCGAAAATTCGCATATGAAATTATTTCTATGTTTGGAAGTACTTATCTGTGTGAGCAGTTATTTACAATTATGAAAGGAAATAAGTCTCCTGTCAGATCCAGAATTAGTGACGTTCACCTTGGGTCAGTTTTGAAAATAATCACTGCGAACAAGATTTCCCCCGAAGTAGGAAAGATAGTAGCAGAGAAGAGATGCCAAGTGTCAGGAAGAAAACATTAATTTTATCATTGCTTTTTTTTTTTTTATACTATACTATTTGAAATAAATCTACATTTCTATGAAAATTGAAGCTTTTGTTTTTTTTTGCTGCAGCCCACATAAACCTTGTTTATTTGGCCCATGTTAGCCTTTGAATTTGACATACTTGGTCTACATAGCATGTACTCACATATCTTGCTACCACTACAAACTCCATGTACCTAAAACTGAACATAACATCTTTGACTTCATAATGGGCTTCTGCTAAATGTATTGTTTCTGACAACTGTTCTGCTTCATAAGCTTGTACCATTTTTGCTCCTGCTGCTAGTGTCATCAAGATTTCAGAAATGTTTTTTAGGCTAGCAAAGGCTATTTTTGCTGCCTTATGGTTAGCAATAGATTCTAGGCTCACTACTGTATAAAATTACAATATTACTGGATCACTACAACTGTACTACTGGGTGGTCTAGTTGTTGCAGCAGCTCAGACCTCTGAGCTTTCTCTCCAATCTTGCACCCAGACATGCTGCAACTATTTCCTCTCATCACAAAGTCTTTGCATTTTCCTTTCCATTGATCTAACTACCATGTCATGCACCTCTCATTAAGCAGGTTAAATAACCTCTTGGGCTAGTCTTTTGTCCCTTTGACCTTCTACTTAAAGAATTCTAAGTTGTGGTGGAACATTTTCCATCTTGATTTCTAACTCTATATCCAGATTCTGTTCTCTGGTTATTTTTCATTTCTACCATTTGTCTTGCAAGTTAAATGCTCACTCTTTGAAAGCAGAGCAATACTTTTATCAAATTATATTCCTGCTCTACAGCAGACTCTGCTGGAGAATATCAGAGCTGCCTTACAATAAGTGCTGAATATTTGCTAAGTAACTTGACTTAATAAAATAGATGGCACCTCTCTGTATTATTTCTTCAAACTGCATGAAGACCTATGATTATCTCAAAATAAAATAATTTAAACATTAGAAATACAGCCACAAGTTGCAAGGTCCTGACACAATAATTTCCCCTTGTCTGTTTACAAATTGCTATAAAGATTTTTTTATTACAATAACATGGACTCATTTAATTAGAAGAAGCTTTGTTAACTTCTTCCCAAACAGGTGGCTTATGCTTTTTAAATCCTAGAAAATTGTTGCATTGCTTTCTTCCTCTGGGATGTCAGGGAGGTGAGACATAGAGGGTAGAGGATGTACCTTGAAGACAGGGTGCAGTCCTGAGAGGCACCTCATGGTGGCCACAGCAATGACCTGACCCTGCAGATGAGTGTTCAGCAAGTGATATTAGAGCTCATGAATATGGAAATCTGAACTTCGGACCCAGGACTTTGCCAGGAGCCAGGCAAGTGGAGGATCTGAGGGCAGGAACAGTGGTGGGGTGGGGCAGCTGGGGCTGGGAGGCTGAAACAAAGAGGAGCTAAGCATTCACTGGCTTTATCCTGTTAGAAACTATGCTTATTATTCTGGGGGAAACACTGGTGACTAAGATTATTGTCTCCAAGGGATTATAATATAGTAGGAGGAATGAAGGCCCTTCCACTCATCCTCAAGTGCTGTGGGGAAGTGTCAGTGCCACGATGGTCAGGTTAAAAGCAGGAGGAATTAGAAGTGTCTAGTACAGTGATGGCGAACCTTTTGAGCTCGGCATGTCAGCATTTTGAAAAACCCTAACTTAACGCTGGTGCCGTGTCACATATAGAATTTTTTTGATATTTGCAACCATAGTAAAACAAAGATTTATATTTTTGACATTTATTTTATATATTTAAATGCCATTTAACAAAAAACCAAAAAATGAGTTTCGCGTGTCACCACGCGTGTCATAGGTTCGCCATCACTGATCTAGTATGACAGAGAAACTTGATGAGGGTGTGAGTTAGGATGGTAGAATAGGAAGGAAAAGCTGGACATGTGAGATAAATGACAGTTTTTACCAACTGATTGATGAGAACAGTAAGAGAGAAAACATTAAAACCAAGGGAGAAAATACGTCTAAGAAAGAAGGAATATTCCACAGAATCATAGGTCAAAAAGAGATTAAGTAGCCTTATGGTGAGAACCAACAGAGAGCATTCTGACTCAAAAGGGCAATTTCAGGTGAGTAGTGAGTAGGCTGTAAGGTATAAAGGAGATATTGGATACAAGGACAGGTGTCACTGAATGAGGCAGGGGTGGGTGACAAGAGCCTGCTGTCTGTGTCCCTTGGCAGAGGTGGGGGATGAACACAGAGCAGTGTTGGGAATGGGATACCCAGGGCACCTCACCTGGATGACCATGGGTAGCAGCTTCCCACTGGGTTCCATCTTCAGCATGACAAGAGGGGCAGCCAGGTACTGCTTCTCTCCTTGGATCACATTGGCTGGAATTCCATCCAGTAGAATGGAATCAGCCTGAAAAATGGAACCTTTCTAAGGAAAGTGTAATGTACCCGTGGTTAGAGTTGAAAACATTCTTCCCCATGGCCAAGGCAAAGGGGAAGAAATGTAAAGACAGTCACTCTCTTTTCTTGCCATTAGCCCATGTCAGTACCTGAGTCCCAGTGGCAGCACTGAAGGAAGCACTGAACATCAAGTTCAAGTTCTCTTATTTTACAGGGAGGACTAAGACCCCATGAAAGGAGTCTTCCCTAGAGACATGCAGCTTGTCTGTGTCAGGTAGTTTTAGGACTAAGTATGCCAGTTGATGCTGTAGCACAGGTATGCCAAGCTCTCCCCGTGTCAGGCTGCCCAAGCTCCTTTCCCCACCATCTCCTAATGGTCAGCTTTATTGACAGAATCCAGCTTTGATGCTTTTCCCTACATCATCACCTCTAAGTTTTTCCAGCAGAGGACTCTACACCCAGGGACAGTGGGTTACCACAGCCTCCCTTTCCAGACTCAACTTTGGTCCTTCCCCTTCACCACCTTGACTCCTCTCACAGACCAGGAGAAGACAATCAAGGGCTAGAGGCTGTACCTGGAGTTCTTTCTCCAATTGGACTGAAGCTCCTCCATCCCCGAGGGCAGCACCAGCCGGGAGGGCAGAGAGGTGGAGCGTCTCAACAGCATGGGGTTGGTGCCATTGAGGAACTGGTAGCCAAAAGCTGGTCATTTTGCCAGCGCTGGTGAACCTTCTCTGTGGGGTCAGAGTGGAGGTTAGGAGGAGGATATTCACCACAACCTGATGTTCCTCTCCTTCAAACTCTACTACAGGGATTAAGTCACATGATGCCTACATACCCAGCCCATATATTTTCATTAATGAGGCCTTTGTGAGATCCCCAGTTTTTATTTTATCTTATTTTTAAAATTTTTTTCTTTATTGATTAAGGTATTACAAATGTGTCCTTATCCCCCCTGTTGTCCCCCCGACCCCCACTCATGCCCTCACCCCCCTGGTGTCTGTGTCCATTGGTTAGGCTTATATGCATGCATACAAGTCCTTTGGTTGATCTCTCCCCCTTACCCCCGCCTTCCCCTACCTTCCCTTTGAAGTTTGATGGTCTGATCGATGCTTCTCTATCTCTGGATCTATTTTTGTTAATCTGTTTATGATGTTCATTATATTCCACAAATGAGTGACATCATGTGATATTTATCTTTCTCTGACTGGCTTATTTCACTTAGCATAATGCTCTCCAGTTCCATCATGCTGATGCAAATGGTAAGAATTCCATCTTTTCCCCGCAGCGTAATATTCCATTGTGTAGATATACTACAGTTTTTTAATCCACTCATTTGCTGATGGGCACTTATGTTAGCTATGGTAAATTTTGCTGCTATGAACATAGGGGTGCATATATCCTTTCTGATTGGTGTTTCTAGTTTCTTGGGATATATTCCTAGAAGTGGGATCACTGGGTCAAATGGGAGTTCCATTTTTAGTTTTTTGAGGAAACTCCATACTGTTCTCCACAGTGGCTGCACCAGTCTGCATTCCCACCAGCAGTGCATGAGGGTTCCTTTTTCTCCACATCCTTGCTAGCACTTGTCATTTGTTGATTCGTTGATAGCCATTCTGACAGGTGTGAGGTGGTACCTCATTGTCGTTTTGATTTGCATCTCTCGGATGATTAGTGACATTGAGCATGTTTTTATATGTCTCTTGGCCTTCCTTATGTTCTCT